GTTTGGGGTGTGTTTGGTTTGGGTGTTGGCCCCGTTTGGTTGGGCGTTCGTTCGTTGGGGTGGGTAGGTGGGCGGTGGTGGGGGGCATAATCAAGTGCTCTGCCAAGCGGGTCATTTCAGTACCGTTACGCTCCATTTGCGAAATAGTCCTAGCGCGGAAATATTTGTTGCCTGCAGACCTTGGGACCCAGAGCAACGCTGATCTGGGTTCCGAGACAGCTTATCAGCAGGTCCTTGTACCGTACTGTATGGTCCCGTAAATCATGTGGAACACGGACTCGGTAAGTGCCGTAGCGTCTTGTTCGGTTGTAACATGTTTGATACAGCTTACATAATTGAAAATGGCTCTTAGAGCTTGGTGGGTCTTGAAAGTCTGGACAGAAGAGCAGCAATAATTAGAACCAACATCCAGCTGTGTGAATTAGGAAGTGAAAATATTCTGCGAGAGAAATATTTATGTCCTCTGTATATATATATATATCACATCTCTCTTTTCTGTTTGAGACAATTCCAAGTTAAGACATGAGTAACCATAAAATATGTGTCACTCAAGTCTAAGTAACCTAATTAGTTTAGATGCAACGACTGAATAACCGTCTGTATGCAGAACTTGCTCGCTCGATAATTTCATTCTGTTACTTATCAGCCACTAATTGAGCTTATTGTTCATGTTGACTGTTATGTTCATTATACAAGTTTGCGCATCGCTGACGTATAAAGTGGCATTCAAATTGCAGCAGTTCCTTTCCACTGGCAATTCTTGAATAATAGCTCATCTGTGGAACTGATGGAAGTCTCCCTAACTAAATCTTGATGGTCGTTGGACGTTGGGCGGGGCCAAAAGGACCTCTTTCCAAGGACAATCAACCCACAACAGCTACGGCGAATGGCAGGTTTAATCGAAAGTAACAAACACAACTACGCTGAAATAGATCCAAAGATCATGGTCAGTATTGGCGATCATAAATAATAGAGAAGGGTTGGGGGGGGGGAAAAATAATGCATATAACCCGTGCAGTTCTCACGGACAGAGTCATTCACGGACTGCGCTTACTGTGAGGCTATTGAAGCTGAGGTCACAACATAGGCAGTCATGCCTTCACAAAGAGAGCTCAACACTACGGTTCAAGTTTAAATCCTGTTACAGTGGAAAATCTACCTCAATTGCTATGAGTAATTGCAGACGAGTCCTGTTGGCGGCTGAGGAATGTCGAACCAGGCAGTGAAAAAAATAAAAGGTTGTGTGCAAATAGATGAAGAATCCTTTTTCGAGTATTTGTAGATCATCCATCCATTGTATCTGGAAGCCTGTATTCCGCAAAACAGCTGATCCGAAGGATACAAGGCAATTTCTCATTATCTCGGAGATGTGTGAAACAACATTAACTATATTTCTCTAAGTGAACGAATATAATGTCGTGCTTTCTGGTTTCCTTTTACGCTCCAGGATAAATAACGTATTAGTGCTGGTCGGTCGCTTCACATGCGTTCTCGCTTTCTTGGAGCACTCCGGATAATGTTGTCTACCCGGAGCAATAGCTAGAAGGTACTTGAATGTCAGCTACAAATTCGAAAGAGGGAAAAGCAAAAAAAAAAAATAAAAATAAAAATAAAAATAAAAATAAAAATAAAAAAGAAAAAGAAAATAATAAAAATAAAAATAATGAAATAATAAAATAATAAAAATAATAAAAATAAATTGGGGGTGAGTCATACCTCTGCAGCTTCAGATGCTGACGACACGACTGCTCGTTTCAACTTGTAGCTCTCTACCACACCCAGCTCCCGCATGTCCGCGATACCACCACCAGGAGTAAGAAGGTCTAGTCCAGAGCTTGTCATTCCATTATTGATAGCTTGCCGCAACCTCGTGACAAGGTCGCTCGAGTCCAACCCGGCGTTATCTGCAAGAATGGTAGGCAGTTGTTTGAGGGCTTGGGCGAATGCGTCCACAGCAATTTGCTTTTTCCCAGTGGTGTTTTGGGCGGTTTGCTGGACTGCCTTTGCCATCACCATCTCGGCGTTGCCCCCACCTAACGTCACTTTTGGCTCACGCACTGTTTGGGAGAGGACAGCAAGCGCATCGTGTAGAGATCGTTCTGCTTCGTCTAGTAGCTGCTCGGTGGCGCCCCGGAGAACGATAGTGCAGGCTTCGCCAGCCGCAACGCCGGAAAATTTGATTAGAGTGTCCTCGCCAATTATGACTTCTTCAATAAGATCACACCTTCCCAGCTTAACCTGTTCCGGATGATCAAATGTGGATGCGATCTCCCCTCCAGTTACCAGGGCCAGACGTTCAATGCCATCAAAATCAGCGTGCTCGATGGAAACAATCCCAGCATCAGTAAAAAGTTGCTCTGGCCAGTTGTATATGAGTTGCCGATTGACGAAGCAGTTGATTCCATGTGCCTTAATCTTTTCGACCTTCGCTCGCATCTTTTCTCTTTCCGCCTTCTCCAATTCTGCTAATTTCCCAGTCGATTCGACCTTCACTCGAGCACCGAAAATTTTGATTTTATCAGTATCCATAGCAGTATTCGCGACGAGAATTTTCGCATTTTCAAGCCTCTTGGGCTGGTTCACACCGATCTTCTTGTCCAAAATGAACCCCTCGTCAAGATATGAGTCGCTTAGCTTGCCGCCAGCCTTCTTTATAATTTGTATATGGCTTAAATCGGTGGATCCTTTGAGTCTGAGGACAGCATCACAGGCTAATCTTGAAAATTGATCTCGGTCTTGGCTGAGAACTTTGGAGCTGAGCGTTGTGCGGGCAATGGCATGCATATCCTTTCGGAATGCAACCGGGTCCTTGCCATTGTCGACAGCAACCCTCTCCAAGGCTTCAAGGGCAGCACGGCTGGCAATCCTGTAGCCTTCGATAATGGTTTGAGGGTGTATTTTACGTTCCACAAGCTTTTCCGCCTCTCTTAGGAGTTCCGCTGCGAGAACAGTGACCGACGTAGTTCCATCCCCAACTTCATCGTCCTGCACCTTCGAGATATTGACAAGGACCTTGGCGGCAGCGTTGTCGAGGGCTATTGCTTTGAGGATTGTAGCCCCGTCGTTTGTAACCATTATCTCACCAGTAGAACTATTTGATTGTTAGATTGGTATTTTGGAATTGCTGCGGACATGTCCCGCACCAAGGGTGAACGACTAAAGAAAACGTACGCAGATTGCAAGATCTTGTCCATTCCTTTAGGCCCCAGGGTGCTTTTGACAAGGTCGCCTACTGCTATAGCTCCCACAAATGCGGACAAACGAGCATTTTCGCCTTTCTCCTCCGTAACATCTTCAGCGAAAATCTGTGTTGGGTTGTTGAACGACGCCTGTCAAAGTCAGCAAGAAACCGGAATAGAATATCATTGGCAGACATACCATTATGAAAGAGCGCAGCGGTAGCTAATATAGATAGCTACGATACGGGATGCTACGGTTCGAGGTTGAGAGAGCTGCAACACAACAAACAACAACAACAAGCAACAAACTTCTTCAACTGCCACTGACTAGTGCTCTCTTTTTTTGCCTGCGGAGTTTTGCTTTAAGATACCGAGAGGTTTTCGTCCAGCCGCAAGCCGGGGGCTTCTTAGTCAGCCTGGCCCCTGCGTAGCTCAGAAAATAAATAAGTTGAAACTCCGCCAGAACACACTTGCGAAGGAAACATACTCAACTAGGTACATACATAGCAACAAAATATACAACTCGTGTTTAGAGTGTCATTGGCATTCCGGTGCTTTAAAAGGTTTCCGCTGGCACGAACTCCCTGGGACCAATGACTGACGTAGAGGAAGAAAGCCACACTGGATCTTCCAACAAGCGATCTTACTCCCAGCTTGAAGACGCCCAAGGGACTGGTTTGTCTCCCCCAATTTGATTGTTCATGAGAGAGAGGGAGCTATGTGGCTAACAGTGAGGGTGAGGGCAATTAAAAACAGGTGGTTATTCCTCCTCATCCGAAGATGACTTTGGACCTGCTCTACCTTCTTCCGCTGCACCCAAAAAGAAACGACGAAAGCTGCCATACGAAAAAGTCTACCTAAATGCTCTCCCCCTTTCTTCGCGATATTCAAAATCTCTTATGCACAAGGACCAGCTTTCTTTCGTTACCCTAACCCCGCACACTGATTTTCTCATTACTAGTTCGGTTGATGGTGTGGTCAAATTTTGGAAAAAGATGCCCGTTGGGGTGGAGTTTATTAAGGAATTCCGTGCCCATGTTGGGGGGCTCACTGGGGTGAGCGTTAGCCCTGATGGGAGGAGCTTCGCTACGGTTGGCGTGGATAAAACGGTTAAGATATTTGATGTGATTACGTTTGGTAGGCAGGAGCTTCGTTTCTTTCTAACTTGCAGTGATGGTTTGGGTGTTTTTGGCAGCTAACGACGTACCAGATCTGCTGGCAATTCTAACTTTGGACTATGGTCCGGGGTGTGTATGTTGGGTACATCGACGAGGGGCATCGTTACCGCTGCTAGCAGTGAGTAGTGATTCCAGTGGTTCCATAATGATTTTCGATGGGCGTGGAGAAAACCCACATCCCCTCCACACCTTGACATCCATCCATCGATTCCCGGTGGTTACTATGGCCTTCAACGATCCATACAACTGTGTGGTTTCGGCCGATGAAGCAGGGATGGTCGAATACTGGCGGCCAGATGCCACTTTCGAAAAACCAGACAACGTTTTCGAACTAAAATCTTCCACCAACCTGTTTATTTTCAAAAAGTCCAAATCGGTCCCATCTTCTATTACAATATCCCCGTCAGGCCACCAGTTCGCGACCTTTTCATTTCCCGATCGGCAAGTTAGAGTGTTTGACTTTCCTACAGGGAAATTATACAGGTCGTATGATGAATCTATCACAACGCTGACGGAGATGCAGCAAGCTGGAACTTCACTATATCAACTGGATGAGGTCGAATTTGGACGGAGAATCGCAATCGAGAAGGGTCTTGAAAACAGCGCTACCGTGTCAAAGGTCAATGTGATATTTGACGAGTCGGGACATTTTGTGATGTATGGTTCTATTATGGGGATAAAATGCATTAACACCTTCACCAACCGTATTGTCAGAGTCTACGGTAAAGATGAACCATTTCGCGCCTTAAACCTGGCCGTCTACCAAGGCCAACCGCAGAAAAAGGGGGTCGTTACAGTTTCTATGGCTGCCAGTGCCAATCCTTTGCTTCAAGAAGCGGAAGAGCGCGATCCCATGGTAATCAGTACTGGCTTTGCAAAAATCCGTTTCTATCTTTTCACGAACGAAACAGAAGTATCCAAGACTAGTCGTGACGTGCAGAATGAGAAACCTGTTGGGACGCGTGAAGACACTTCCGCCGTTGCCGCAGTTAATCCTGCGGAAGCAGGTACGTCTGCAATTCTTCACACTACCTTAGGCGATATTCACCTCAGACTTTTCCCTTCTGCGGCTCCCAAAACCGTAGTTAATTTTGTCACACATGCACGCAATGGTTACTATAACAACACTACATTTCATCGAGTGATTCGCAAATTTATGATCCAAGCTGGTGACCCGCTCGGTGACGGCACGGGGGGGGAGTCAATTTGGGGTGGTGAGTTTGAAGATGAGTTTTCGACCCTTCGCCATGATAAACCATACACGCTATCGATGGCAAATGCAGGTCCAAATACGAATGGAAGCCAATTTTTTATTACAACTGAGAAAACCCCATGGCTTGATGGGAAACATACAATATTTGGGCGGGCGGTCAAGGGGCTTGACGTGGTACATAAGATCGAAAATGTAAAGACATACAAGGAAAAACCAGAGGAGGATGTGAAGATAGTAAGCATCAGTGTAACATAGTCATTCTGGGCGGAATCCAGGTAGAAAAATTACATTTAGAAAGAAACAAATGGTCAGTTCTGACTTCAATTCAAGCTGGCATATAGAAACAAAGATTCGTACCCAAGGGGCCGAGTTTACAAGTTTTTAATATGTTATCACTAAAAATCAACATGTATTTCCCCAGTCATATGTTACATGAAATTTTAATAAAGAACATCTTGAAGCAGTTAGAATAACGTTAATGACTTCATGAGTATGCCTCGGTGTGTTCACTTAGTTCAGGAGATGTGCAGTGCCAAAGCTTTGTTGCATGTCAAAAACTAAATTAATACCCCATCTGCGAGATGCTGTTGCGGACCCCATTTACTGTCTCTCAAAGCCGCTGCGACTAGACTTCTCGAAGTTGGTTCACAATCGCTCAAACCACTACTTCCAAGGGTCACCGTAGGCTTGGCCCAAAGCGATATGATGTTTATTTGCCTACTTACGACTGTGCCGACGTTTTGGGCAAGCTAGGAGGAAAGGCAAGGGAGGAAAATCCAACAACAAGTAAAATTATCATCACCACCGATCTTCAATGAAGAGGAAACCCTAGAGCAAGTTTAGTCTGTGGGTTTCTATTGATGGAAACGCCCTTTGTCGACGGGGCTTCATTGGAAAAGGAGTAATTGGAGGTTACAGCACAGTGACTTGATTGGCATACAATCTGGAAGGAGCTTCGTAAGTGACACGCGGGAACGTTCCGTCCCCGCCTATATCTGACACGGTCGTTGGTGTTGGCTTTGAGCCTGAGTTGGTGGGAGACGCAGTGGAGTAAGGATGGTTGTGCTCGTTTGGGTCAATCCGGAGCCACCCACAGTGCGGAGTCCTGCATACCATATCTGCAGTGTGCACAAATCGGCCGACTAACAGACGGCATCGCAGAACACCGTTGGGAGAACCGAAAAGGGTCTGTAGAAGAGCGGGTTGACAGATGCTTAAAGAATACTACATGGTTTGGTCTGTCACAGGAGGCTGTGGGGGTATACAACTCGCTTGTTCCTGTTGAAGTAGAGGACATTCAACTGCACATACGAGGAAGATTGCGGAGCCGATAGTTGGTATGAGAGATGGACATTACCGCCAACGTGAAAACGGTAGTGGAAAGAATGAGGAACCTGGGGGAACCTGGCCGTTGCCCAGTACATGTAGCTCCGACCCTCCGGACAGTAGAGATACTGAGGTTCTTTTCTTTTCTTTTCTTTTCTTTTCTTTTCTTTTCTTTTCTTTTCTTTTCTTTTTTTTGGAAGTTCTGGCAAGTGACTGAAGTTAGAATTGCCGTAACAAGAAAGATGGTGATTGCTTTGCGAAGCCCAAGCCCGCTTCGCTAAATGGGCGCGCAGGTTGTGAAGCAGCCCCATGGGGGTTGGAGCAAGAGAAGGCGTCAGTCCACAGACATTGATCGTTAGAGTTTAACGCTGCGAAGCGCACTGAACGATAGAGCGAATGGACAGCCAAAAGATAGGTTTGAAAGCATTGGCGGTGTACGTGCACCTGATTGAGGTGAGGAGGCAGAGAGCGTAACCAGAAGATAGAAATAAATAGGGTGAAAGAAAGAGAAAAGCAGGTTGTGAGATGATGAAGAACCGAGAGAGATGGCGGACTGGCTTTTCCTTCTTGGATGCTGCAAAAAAGTTCGGAGGTTTGAAAAGAGGCAGATTTAAGCGTTTCTCTATAAGGACTTGACTAACGAATTAGTGCCAGAGCAAACACTAAGGCCCAGTCTGCCAGGGTTATCATGTTTTTTTTCTTTTTTTCTTTTCTTCTCTTTTTCTTTTTATTTTGCAGATATTCCGTACATAGGATATCCATTGGGGCCCTCAGCATAAGTTTCTGAGCACAAGAACAAAATAACCCTTCGGGGAGAAATTGAATAAGTCTTTATCACTCAGAATATTCAGTGCTTCCAATGGTGCAGTGACTTTTTATTGCTGAAGTGTTGAAATCAACTCGTGTAGTAGAGCAGAAAAAATAAAAATAAAAATAAAAATAAAAAATCGGATTTAGCTCATGTCTCGTTGTAAGCATCAGCGACATAACCTAGTTAGTTTACTTGATTAACTAACTATTATCTTAATGTGACATAAGGAATAGTGGTAGGTTGGTTTCCTCTGAAAACCTGTGAGAAAAAGACCGGGAGTTAACATCATGGACAGCTGAACCTACGCAAAGCAGGGGGGTACAGGCGGAACAGAAACACATCGCAGCACTGGAGGAATAACTAATGTTCTCGTGAGCTAGGGATCGAATGGTCTCTTTTTTAAATGCAGTGGCGAATAATAATGTAGCAGCTAGGTATTTTGTTGTAACTCGAGTCGCAAAGAGCTTGCGAATATGAATCATTGGGTAGTTTAGTGCTTCGGAGTATATTGAACCAGAAATGGATGAAGGGCGACATCGTTCTGGAGGTATTCATTCGAATGTACTCCGTTACGTTGGTAGGGATGGTTGGTTTGGGTGGCGAGCCCTCTGAGGTCACTTTCTCTGCACCTTACTCCAACATTCGCGCGGGTATTCAAGGGGTTGTATTCATGGCTAAATATTCTCCGGGTGTTACATAACACGGGCAACAGCTAGCTATTAAACTTGGAGGAGTAAACTTGGAGGAGTGAGAAAGACTATAAATCCCACAGGTAAGTGTCTCATGGTGGGGGCTCTGGGGTAATATTTTTGTTCTGTTTGGGCAATTTGTAGTAGCTAATGATTCCAAATCGACTCCAAGGGGTGTTGGCGTGGAGCATTCTATTTCTCCTCCACAGAGGGGCTCTAGTATCACTAACGAGCTATCGACATAGATTGAACCGTCGGAAGGTTCGACATTTTAACAGATTCTCGGCTTTTTCGTTTATCCTAAGCTTTTTAGCTTTCGTTTCTTTCAATCCCAATGAGAACTGAGGATCCCGCAGATAACGAACATGGATAATGGTAACCGAAGGCCGGTAGCAAAATGCGCAGAAACCATGGCCCCTGTGAGAGAGAAGTGAGAATTGAGCACCGCCTCCTACGAAGGCGGAAGGGTAATATATCTCTCAGAGTTCAGATAATAAAAACTTAACAAGCGAGGACGTATGACTTTCCCTTTTGCACGAGGGCTGGATGAGGATCCCCACCTTAATCCTTCATGGACCCCCGTGGTGCAGAGAAGGGACCAACAAAATCGTGAACTCCATACTTTCCGGTCTGCACTGAGAAAACTAGAACAGTGAGAAGTGGGCTCAAGTTATCTGGACAACAACTATGTTTATCGTAATATCAGCTGGTAGCCATGTTTGGAAGAAGCCGAGATGAATCATCCCATGGATTAATTGACTTTTTCAACAGCCCATTCCAAGCCTTCTGCAGTAGTAAATTAATTTAGTCTTCACTCCTCCCCAACTTTTCCCCAGCTTTTCCCAACCTTCTTATCACTTAACATCATGGCAACAACTCCTCCGGGCGGAGTTAGTCTCAGAGAGAATTCCTGGGTTGAACCGTCACGCCACCCACGCCTGCAGAGTTAACTGAGGTCAGAACCAAGATCTATGCCGAGCGCAGTCGTCGCGCCTTCGGAATCCTGGGAGGGTGCACTGCAACCAAGCCGAAGCCGGGGGAAACCCTGCTTAAACCCAGTGAGGCAGGCGGTCCGAGATCCTTGGACCGAACAAGGCATGGGGGTGGGCGATTAACTTGCGCTGGACCGGCAAAACTGTACGGAAGTACGTACTCAAGTTGAACGAGTCTGTCTGTGCCATGTAACTGCCATACGGAACACGTGTGATGGAGAGTTTAAATGCTGGACATACACATGCTCTGTGCATATCTATATCTTAAGGGTGGATAAGAGATATTATTCTGTTGAATGTTAGCAGTTTGTTGTCGATACTCTCCCAACCAACAACTAGTTAAAATAATCCCGCCTCTTCCCATGATTTATGTTCGTTACTCACTTGTGCGCACGGCGATAACGAATAAACTAGTGAACCCCGCCCGCCCCCTTGATTCACTCAATTTCTCCCTCTGGGGATTGAAAGACCACTGCGAATAATAGCTGCGATTGAAAACTGTCCAACTCTTTGTTTGTGTGTCAATTGCGTTCTAAAAACAACACCATGACGTCGTAAATCAAAAGTAGGTTAGTTAGCTCATTAGTTTAACTTGGTTACTGACGAGCTAACAAGTTTACGTTAAGACTGTATTCATCTTTTGCAAGGAGAGAAGACCCTTTATTTCCCTCTCTGACGTGGTATTTAGGCCATAGAAGTTACTATAATAATTTCCATGTGAGGCTCCCCCGCCACACGGTCATCTCCTGCGCGATGGCCTGGCACACTTGACAGTTTGATGGATACCCCACCGTGAAGGGATTGCAGGGATTGGCCACGATTCGGTTGGTCAATCGAATGATTTAATTTCAAGATAATGGAATGATGACTACCGTGTTGCACATGAAAATCTGAGAATGCGCATTTTGTTGAGTGGCATTTTTCCCTCCACTTGATTTTCCCGCCACCTCTGTGTGGCAATGGTTAGTTAATCAGTGTTTAGTCGTTTGGCTGCAGTTTTTGCCAGAGCTCGAATGTGCTTATATGTACTATGTGTACATGCATCGTCATATATCAATGCTCCGCCTAGCAGTAGGTACCCGCCAACCTGCGGAATTTCCAATCTCCCTCCGATATCCTTTTTAAGGGGAGAGGGGGGAATGGAGGAGGAGGGAGGAGGAGGAAGAGGAGGAGGAGGAGGAGGAGGAGGGCATTTTCAAGATATCCGTTCATGTATACAGGGAAGATGAAACCTCAGCATGTGCTCGGGAATCATGAATGATACCTTCCTAGCCCGCCCCGCCAGACAAAACGGCTGCCGAGCTAGCGTGAGTCCGCAGCGCGGGCTCACTTATTCCCTCCCACCCTCCCCTCCAATCCGGGGTGTCTTGAAAAGTTGGGCCGCCAGCTTATGTCGCCCCGCTGATTCCAGATATGTTTTCGACCTTACCCTTATTCGGTAATCAGTAATATCATTCTGAATCCTTGATGCAGCCTGTCAAGCCCGCTCTCACCCTCTTGGCATGATTCCGTTTGCATTGGTGCTAATAACCG